ATCCGCCTCTGCTCCTGCTCTGCCACAATAACTGCATGTATCGCCTCGTATTATTTTTAGAACGTTTGAAAAATAAAATTTTAACGTTTTACCCAACTATAGTAGCTTATGGTTTAAAATTTTCGTCATCGAAATGAGCCAAAGTCTTAGTTTTATGTTTAGTGCATTTTAGAACGCTCAGAGAAAGAAGAACTGTGTCTGGGTTTTATTTATGAATGTAAAGCTTGGTCAGTTTTCAATAATACAGCTTGGAAAACTTTAGTGACTAGGTAAGAAAGCTGTCAAGTTTTCCTATAGACACAACCTAGAAAAAAACTGTCAAGGAAATAACTTGCTTGATGATTTAAAACTTATGATCGTGAATACTTCGTGACAAAACGAAAGTTTATGTTAAATGTTGCTAGACTGATAATGAATACGTCTCCCGCAGAAAGACACGAGACTTGAGCAAACGGGAGCTTTGGGCGGGTTGGAGGAAAAGGGCACAACTTTGCCGGGACTCAAACCAATACAACACAATACAATAATTTTTATTAACTCTCCTAAAGGGCTATTCTCAAGTTAATTTACAAATGCTTAAAAGAAGGGGATAAGAAGAAAAAGCTTAAATTGATTACAATCTTGGTACAAAACTAAAAGCCTAAACTCTGCGCGTACAATTACGTTATCTCTTTGGAGGTCTAAACTAAATCAAATATTAACTATTTTAACGCATGGGGTCTGCATTCGCGTTTGACGCTCCTCTTTTTAAAATATAGGTACATAGTGACGGGCTATTTTTAGTGTCTGCGGTCAGAGACTTCCAGGCACTTACAGCGCGATAGTAAAATGACCGTTGCGCGGTAACTGTTCTGCATAGAGGGAAATTTAGATTGTCCCTTTTCCTCGTGTTGTAGTGATGTGTGTCTGATCGCTTACTGAGTTTACTACTCAGGTATAACGGGCGGAGGCCAATAACAATTTTGTATACTTGGGTAGTATCACGGACTAATAGCTGATCTTTGATGGAGGGCCACCCTAATTCCCGAAGAACAGGCGAGATGTGATCAAACTTTTTGGTATCTGTTATATAATACGCGGGCGGCGAAGTTTAGCACTAATTGCAACTTCTGTAGATTTTGCTTTGAGGTGCCTGCCCAGACAGTGGAACAGTAAAAACGTTTGCTAAAAATAAGAGAATTCAAAAGCATCATCTTCCACAAGCCACGAAAACCCGTAAAGCATGAATGGGGTTATTGTATTCCATGCTGCTGCCGAAAAACGCCGTTTGAAACTAGTCGAGCCGGTTTGTAATCGAATACTAAACTTAATGGTCTGGAACGTCCTGACTCTGTAGGCTGTAGCCACTAGAACTTCAAAATTAAGAGATAAACCGCGAAGGAGTAATCTCTCTGAAAGAAACTGCTCTGAGGAGAAAAAGCTCTGGAAAAGTTTAAAGAAACAAGAGTTTATAGACCTCATTCACAATGGCGGCTTATTAAGGGTCTATTAATATAGGGCGCTTTCCATTTAGTCAAAGTTTCCGGAATTTCTGGTTCGGCGGTAAATGGAACACGTTTCGTCGGTTCATCCCACTGGAAAATTCCCAGAAAAAGTGGAAAATCTAAAAAGGTGGGCCCGTTTTCTCGGTTGGAATTTCCGAACGCAATGTCGTGTTCCATTTACGTTTCTCGTAGTTTCTACCAGTTCCGGGTCTACGGTCAGGCACCGCGACGTACCCCGGACGTACCGGGGTTTAAGACCAAATGGAACAACTTTTTACCAATCGGAAATTCCACTTTTGCTCCCACCGAAATTTCCGGGTTTTTTTCCTTAATGGAGAGCGCCCATATTCTCTTATATGTATTATCCTTTCTGACCTCCTTAGCAGGCGCAAAACACAAAAGAATTCTTACTTTCAAACGAGGTCAGAAAGGCTAATTATCATACATATAGAAGAATACTTAAAATCGAAGGCAGGGCTGATCGGACAGCAAAACGTTACAAAATTATTTGCCCAATATTTCGACTTGACAAAACTAGTCTTCATCAGGGGCTTGTCTAAATAGCGGGCAAATAAATGTGGAACCGCTTTAGCTATAGCTGTCCGATCAGCATTGCCTTCAATTTTAAGTGTTATTTTGTATTACTGATCCTGATCTACCACCAGATCCGGCTTTCCCTCGCTGCTGTTTTTCCAAGTGGTCCTTGCAAGAATTGTTCGCTAATATTTATAGAAGAATATAATATTAGGCCGCCAGTATGAGAAAGGTCTATATCTTATTGGGAAAACACCCTTCAACATTCTCAAAAACTAGAACTTTATAGATCATTTTTATAAATCGATCATACCACTTCTAATTACCTAGACAACAAGAGGAACAGCAAGGGCATCAGTAAACTTTCGAATATAAACAATCACAAACTAATGATAGAACTACAGTCTCAGACAAAAATAGTTGGGACACGGCTTAGATCAAACGCTGTTTTTTCCTTCTCGTGCTCCCCTTGTCCCTCTCAAAGTTGTTTATCGCTGTTCAGTCACCAAACCTTGTACATCAACATTGAGGGGACAAGGAGAGCCACAGAGCCCAAAGAATGGGCACCCAGCGTCAATTTTCGGAAAATATCTGTTCGGAAGACAATTTGAGATCTAGAATTTTCGGAACATTTTTTGTAAAATTTCTTGTTTGACTGCCTCTCCTAAGATTTTTGAACATCTAAAAAATGGTGTAATTGCCCATTTTTGACGCAATTTTACCCTAAAAAAGGTCACCTAGAATTTTCGGGGGCCTTTTTTCTGGCTAAAATTTTTGGGGGATAAAAATATGCCTATGTCTACCGTTAAATACTAAAATACGTTTAAAAATGCTATTTTAAGTGGTTTTTAACTATATTCTCGTTGGGTGCCCCTGCCAAAGTGTCCCGACAATTTTGACTGAGACTGTAGGTCGACACAATCAAACTACCAGAGATGATAGACACTGCCCTCTTTGTGGATCCAGTCTAATTAAGTTTTGTTGTCCTACATACTCGCTGACTAGGAAGAATTTTTATAAAGTTGGCTTTGATTTCAAATATTAGCCAGTTATCTGTCTACGTTTTGATCAGTGAACTGATGAACATCATCAACTCATCTATTTACTTACCAATATACAATTCATGAAATATATTCCAGCTTGCCTTTATCTTCCTGACAAAATATTACCAAAGTAACTTAATTGTAATATGATGAAATTTTCATTCTTCTTCTTAAAATAGCTTTTGCAATACTGTATGTTTAGTCATGCAAAGAAGCTTATTGTTCTTGGTGTTGCGTCGGTGGGGGAGAGAAATGCACAGATTTGGTTTTATACAGCTGAGGGAGAATGAACTTCTTAATCCTCTTAGGTCATCTGTGATACAGCGAAATTTCCCCAAAATTTAACCCGTTTGTTGAAGGATTTTGCGTTCAACTGAAAGTGATATCCACAGTTCCCATTTCAAGATTCATTGGCCAATATTAACCTAGACTGCAAAACAGTCCGTATTTTTCAGCGTATTCAAGTACGCGGGAGCAGTCAAACAAAAGGTCTGCAACGAGGCTGAAAACGTGTGAGGCTCGCGCGCTTCGCGCACGTAAGACTCTTACGCCACGCTTTACCGATTTCTTGTACTGATTTTGAGAAAAAAACCGATATTAATCAACATTTGAAGCTCTGTGTCTTAGATTTATGTGATTTATTTTTCACCAGTGATACTGAAAAACTGTTGTGCGTTATACCTCACGAAACGTCTCGAATATGCTTATATCCCATTCTGCATCCTAGATCAGAAACTTCAAATCAATACTCACTTGGGCGCTGGCAAGGATACGCCCGCGCGACACGTAACAAAAGAAGCACAGCATGACCGAAAGTGGTGACCGTTTCAAATCATGTCAAATAACAATTAGACGCCCTGTGTGTCGTGATTCTGGCTTTTTCGAGTCCGTTGTCAAGGGTTTTCACTTATTTACTGCCTAAGCCTTGTTCCTTGATACAAATCATACCTAAAGTTCCGAGTTATACGCTTGAGAGGCTTATTTAAAATTGCTGCTTATAAATTCTTTTTATTTGGGGCCTGGCAGTCAAACCTACAAAATATAGCTAGTTTGTATTGCAGTACCTAACGTTGTAAGATTGGCAATTGGTCGTTATCATAGAAGTTTCAAGGAGGACCCTCTTCCCTGGGAACAACTGTTCACTAAAGCTCCTCTCTAGAATGAGTGTGCATACTTTCCACTCTTTTAGCTTGCAATGGGCAAGTTTAAACTGAAGTAGCTAACGCAACGCAGATTAAGTTAAAAGAGTTCCCGTAATTTGGTTGCAGCATAGTTGCAGCATAGTTTGTACGCATGAATGGTGTCATATATCTGCCGTGATTTCGAAATATCTGCTGTCTCTGTTGCAATGACCCTGAGACGGAACTGCACAATTCCTACTCAAATAACAAATTTCCTTCTCAACATATATTCTTAAGATTAGTTTCTCATCTGTTGATTAGAAAATATTTATAATATTCAAATTATATCAGAAAACTACGATCATTCTAGAGCAAAAATTATGAAAGCCCCTGCTGCAATTACTCAAGTGAGGCTTTTTTCCCTGCGAAGGCGGTAGTTAATTAATAAAATTGTTCCACTAGCAGGAAAAAAGAATTAGATTGGCCCTATTTCGGAAAAAATAAACTTTTTACGTTTTATTTATTATCACCAAGGAACCAAACTTTTCATGGATCGGTAAAGAATTCTAAAAGGCTTACGATATGTATGTGACTTTTAGTCGTCACCTTTAACCGTGTTTGCGTCATTATGACGTAGTATTCTTCGAGGGTGTTCGCATATCTGCATTTCTAAATTTGGATGCGTTACACAACACGCTGACAACAGTCGAATCCAGGGGATTTCGGATCTTGTTTATATAATAACCGTTTACTGTAATTTTGCCCGTCAAGTCTTTTACCACGGAAAGTTGAATTCGAGTGGAATTTGTTACTGGAAAATGACCAGTCTCCTAACGAACGAAACGTATCGATGTGAGCAATGCCAGGAGCTACAACGTTCATTAGTAAAAACTTTGGGAGAGAAGAGGGCATTGCTTTTACGATTACAAAAAGAACAAGCGAGAATAAGAAAGCTTTTGAGGGAAGCAGAAAAAGGAAGGAAGAGAGATGGCGAGGTATGAAGATAACCAAGAATTATAGAAGGATACAGATTTCTGAGATGCTCCATTTTACTCGGCGCTTATCAGCGCTTATGCATGCAATATGCCTGTACGAAGCTTGTTGCGTAAACCAGTGAGGCACACAGCACAGCTATGTTTTCTTTCATATGTAAGGGAGACATAGGGCAGACTGTTCAGTCGCTTTCGATAATATTTATATTTGTAACTGGTGTCATCGGCCTTACTTACTTCGGTAAAAAGACAGAAATCTGCGATTGTTTAGAACATGTAATAGACCGGACCAGGTCACTCCTTGCAAACTAATGTTAATTTAAGCGAAGCTTTAATTGTCACACTGTACTTTGTAATTTCTAAAGGTGGTATTTTGGAAAGGAAACACGACTTTTTTGGCGTGTACCTTCGAAAAGGCGAAACGAAACTTTTCCTTTAGCGCTCGATATTTCAAAGTTTCACGTGAAAATGGCAGTCATGTGAAAGGATTAGATTATTCGGGCGGCTCCAGGGTGTAACGGGGGTTTGTTCGTGGGGAAAAAAGCGAAGAAACAAAACAAATCGCCGTTTTAGGTGTGACACGAATCTCAGAGACTAAGTGCTAAAATTAAACGCGGATATACTCACACCCTTACAGCAAAAAACCCGTCAGTATAGATACTAAATCACGTGCAGTATTATCAGAAACGTACATTAGTCTCTGGAATTATCTTGTATATTCCCATAATTGGGTAGTTTGACTCAAAGGAACTGATTAGTGCATTCATTACTTCAAGGATCTTATAACAGACAACCCTGTCCAAAGTGAGCGTAATGTTCAGATGCTTTTTCAAAATGTCTCAGTTACTTCAGGTGCAAGTCTTTTTCATGATAATATTTTTTATATTTTGTTACATTGACATGCATGACTTTCACTTGTCATATAATTTGAACCCAATCTGTACCATCTGCTAGACAAACATGGCAGGGCAAGCTATGAGATAAGGGAAACCAGCTACCGGTATTTGGATACAAAGTCATTTTGATACAAGTCGTTTTGTTACGAACTGCACAAAAAATTTTATTCACGTCAAGTGTGGTTTGCCCGTGAGCAAGCTAAAAAACAATTTGGGTGACTATTCTTCGTTCTTTAAGCCAAGTGTGTGCAACTATTTATGCCTTGACGGAATAAATTTCTATTGAAATAATGGGTAACTGATATACAGTAAGTAGTAGGTCCTTCCAAATGGTGCAGTTTTTTTTTTCTACCATATTATTGAATATTTAGCATTTTTTCTTTCATATTAGGAGGTGCCTAATTTAAGGGATGTTTCAAGACCAGCGAGGGAAAGCAACGGTGATAATTCTTTAGAGTGGCAGCTGAACGAGGTGAGAGAGGAATATTATGATTGCTAAGATACACACTGTAAGCAGTATGTTTTTCACTGGAGACCTATAACTAGCTGTTCTTAGTTCTCAAATTAAGCCTTTGACTCTCAGCATGATCAGCACGTAATTTGTCTTTAAAAATCAATGCTTTCAGGTAGACGATTAATATTAATCTTAATGTTCACATGACACTAATAAGAGGAAATCAGATTTAGCTATAGTTCTACAGTAGAACCCAGGTAACTCGAACTCTGAAAGGAAACACAAAGCAGTTTGAGTTAGCGGGGAGTTCAAGTTATCGGGGGAAATTTAAGTGAAAATTTTGATCAAGGGAGAGGAAATTTAGTTCAAGTTAGCAGGGAATTCGAGTTATCTGAGTTTGAGTTATCAAGAATTCTACTGTAGAAAAGTTTTATTCTGGATGTTATGTGCAAGTTATCTTGACAATATTGTTAAATTTTTATGAACTCCATTTCTTTTTCCTTCTAAGAACTGGCTTGTGAAATAACCATCCATATATCTATTTATATTTTTTTAAAGGTCATTGAAGTTAACAGAAAATGGAAAGAAGACTATGATAATTTAAAGCGGCAATATGAGATGAAAAATGAAAGCCTTCAGAATGAGCTGGAAGTGACTAAAGAAAAGCTTTCAAACTCACAAACGCAAGTCCTTGCACTTGGAGCTGAAGTTGACAGGCTTGCGACCACCCTAAGTCTTTTGTATCAAAAAGAAGGCAGTTCTGCCCCTTCAGATTTTGATGTGGATGATTATGAAATATTCAAACAACAGGTATGCAGTGAATTATAGACATTCTCCAGATCATCCATAAAGGGTGCACTTTTATCTTTTTTCTCATGATACATGTAGTCACTTAGAAGTTGATTGCGATGCTTTGACAATGCAGGGGCGGATCTAGGGGGAGGGTGCAGGGGGTGCGCACCCCCCCTGAGACGACCTGCAGTTTTTTAATACAACTGGTATTCTTTAAAAACCATGTGATTTATTGGTGTTGAAGTAGAGCAAGAGACGAGTGTACCCCCCCCCCCCCTAAAAAAAATCCTGGATCCGCCCCTGCAATGTACTGTCAGGCGATTGTGTCAATTTGCTGGGCGGGACTATTAGTGACTATCATGTAAGACAAACAAGAAAAACAATCCCTTTATACACATACTCACTGTATCACGATGAATAATATCTTTCATGACAAGGATATTTGCAGATCCCAGGTGTCATGGAAAATGTGAATTATCATTTTCTAACTAAACAGAACATTCGATAATACATGTATGTAATACCTTTTTAGTATCATTGGGGTTTCAAACACATTGTATGATCTTTTGATAGTGTTTTTCTGATGTCACTGTGTTAAAAAACTAAGTCACGTACTTGTATACAGTGTATACCGTGTATTTCATATTTAACTATAAGTAAAAATCATTTCATTGCAGATTCAATTGTATAAGGAAGATTTTTCGATTGAGAGAAGGGACCGGGAACGGGCACAGTCTGAAAAAGATTATCTTCAACAGCAGTTGAAAGATGCACAAGAAATCATTGCCACACTTACCCAAGAGGTTAATAAAGTATTCTTCTTAATAATAAATGTACTTCTAGTTTTTATTTTATTCAAATACAGTGGAACTCCGTTAATTTGGTCACCAATGGGCCAAAAAAATTAGATCATAACATCGAGGTGACCATATTAACGAGGATTTCTTTACGAGAAAATGTATTGTCGTTTTTGTGGGGGACCAAAAAAAGTGGCCGTGGTGGCCTTAAGGCGGGGTTCCACCGTATATAGTTACATGAATGGAACTACAGTAACAATAAAAGACCACCGTACATTTTTATACCTGATTTTTGGATGTTTGTAGAAGATAATTTTAAAATAAGTGAGATTCGCTAATGAAGAGTGTTTTAATATTATTACCATTAAAGGTTGACATTTACAAGGGACAGATGTGTCAAGAAAGGTCAAGACAGCTACGGCGTCACTCTGATCCACGCCCTCTGCACACATCATGTCCCCAACTACAAATCATCTACCCAGTCAGTGCGCCACCATCAGCAGCACAGCGGAGATTGAGACAGGAACAACAAAGAAGAGTAAGTTTTGACATTAATTACCCCCTTCACTGCTGTGAATTCATGAACAGGTGAATTTAGGAAAATTCGTTCACAATTATTATATTCATTCACAATTAAATTCTTTCAAAATCAAACTTCTACTATTGTTCACCTCACCAAGGAGAAAGATATCTTCTTGTTTATACTTTAAAGGGTTTGATTGTCTTTAATATTTGTAAGTCTTTTTGCATCAATAAATCGTGACATTTTAACAAATTCTTCTTCTTTAGGGTATCCTTACTCGAGGAGCAAACCATTACACTGCACCACCAAGTCTGCTTTATGGAGGAGATGTGGAGGTAGATGATAAAATGACTTGAATTGCCTTTTATCATCCCCTTTATTGCTTGTTGAGACATCATGGAACGTTAGGATTTTTCTTAAGGTTTAGAGAATTAAGTTATTATAAAAAACATATGTAAATGAGAGATAAATGCATGATACTTCGATGCAAGCATGCCACTTTTGTAACAAGATTGGTATAAGCAATAGTGTAAAGAAAAAGAAGATTTTACCACTCTCAGAGCACTTAGACTTCATAATGGCAACATGCTGTCATTAAAACATCATGTTTTTATAGCTCATTTTTATTCTAAAGTACTTGACAATCTTTTGTTAATATTAAAAGTGTAAAGTATACCTATGTCATTGACATAGACATTGGTCTTCTATGAAGACCAGCCTTTGATGCTGTTGAGTAAAGCTTTACTGTACTACAGGGGAGCAAGGGTGGGGCAGTGGTGAGAGCACTCGCCTCCCACCATTGTGGCTCGGGTTCAAATCCTGGCATCGATGCCATATGTGGGTTTAGTTCGTTGTTGGTTCTCTCCCTTGCTCCGTGAGGTTTTTCTCCGGGTACTCCAGTTTTCCCCTCTCCTTAAAAACCAACACTTTGAAATTCCAATTCGATCTGGAACGCACGGACATGCTTACTCCTAAGGGCTTCGTGAGTAAACAAATTACAAAAATTACAATAGTAAGCAAATTCAGCTACCATGACATAATGAACCTTCATGATGCCAATAAACATAAAAAATATTGACACAATCGTAGGAGCTAAAATTTTACCCATTAGTCAGTAGATGGTGGTAAAAGTAACTCTACATGTAATTCAATGGATTGTGGAAATTTTTTCAATTTTTGGCTTTCGCAAGAGAAAGAGTTTTAAGCCTCAAGGAGTTATGCAGGATGAGAGTAGTCTAATAGCAGCAGTAGAATTTCTTTCAAATCATGGTACCTTTACATACAGTGTAGCTTGAATATTTTCCAAGAGAAATGGCAGCGTCATAGATGAGAATCATTCATATATTAGCAAACATTCACTCATGTGCTGGATGGATTAATATTTGCCTATACTAAATAATTATTCAGTATAATTGCTAAATTAGAAAGTTATTAGCAATGAGAAGTGATCAAGTGGGCCAAAAAAGGTTAAAGGAGATGTGGGAATGGGGGCGGGGATGGGGGCTATGTTTATGTACTTTTAGAACCTAGATGAAATGAAATGAAAAACTACATAGTAGGTACACTGTAAAGAAAATAGCAAGTTTCCCTGTCCACTAAAACACAGGGAACAATTGGTGCTTATGTAGCATTAATAATTTGAAATATTTATTTATTGTAATTAATAGATGTGAACTCATCATCGAAAAAGGTATAATTATATTAGTTGTCAGATGTGCAAGGTTACACTTGTTATCTAAATAAGTATTAAAACCAATGTTGTTCTCGGTGTCTTCAGGCTTCTTGCTTGGGCAGCAAGGGCTTGTTTACCAGGTGACTGTAGATAAATCTTTCATTTTGACTGCAGTAGTTCCGAGGTCAACAAATTCCAACAAATAATAAAAATATTATTTTATCTGGTGATTTATGGATGTCATCAGTCTCTCTCCGGGTAACCAACTGCTGACATGACAAAGGTGACTCAAACTGTTCTGTTATTATCCACAAATTCACCACTTTAGAAGCAAGAAGGGAACTGCAGCTGAAATGTGGGCGTCCCACAGTAAGTTGTTTCTGGAATGGTCACTGGGGAAGCACCCATCAGCTATAGGCGAATTTTTTAATCCTTGTCCTGAGTAACACTCCCAGAAGTCTTTTTGAAAGTTAACTTACTCCAGTTTTCTTCTTATTTCTAACATGGCAAATGAAGAGGTGTCTGGAAAAAGCTCTCTTACAGCAAGGAGCCCAAAAGAGTTACCGCTTTTAATTTATTCACATTATTTCGTGAGATTTAATCCAATCGGAAGCCAGCTGGAAACTGTCGAAACTGTCCTCGACTTCTGATTGGTTGATCGATGCCTTCATGAAAGAATGTGTAATTATTAAAGGAGGTCACAATTTTGGGCTCCTCGCTGTAAGTGATTTTTGGACCAACTGCTGCATTCTCCTTTTACTTAACCTACTGTAGGTTTCAAAAGAAAAGAGAAAATCCAGCATGAGATCAAAGTCACATACCTGTAAATTAACTTAATTCTCAATTTCAGGATTTATATTATGACCCAGCACATTGTTCTCTGATACATTTCCTATGATAATGTTTGGTTTGGGAGAATTTGTTGTATAGAACAAGACTCTTTTCATCCTTGATCATTTTCTTTTTTCTTTTGACCTCTATGATTGATTGAGCAGTATAAGGGTGAGGAGAAATTGAGTGTTGGTCACTCTTTGGGGGCCTTTTCCATGCACCCATTCAAATGGTTAAGAGCTGAAAGCCACTCTTGACCAATCATTAACACTATAATCTTCTTATCCATTGAAGACAAGGCTGTGATGGATATGGAACAACAGGCCCTGAATAGGTTATGTTAAGAGATATTATATTATAGAAATGAAGGCCTTGTTGTCTGCAATGGACATCTATTTATTATCTGTTTTAGATATAATTTATAGAATCTCTGATGCTATGCATTAATATTATTTTTTGTTGAGATGTTCTCATTTGTATAGTAAAATTATGCACTTGATAAAGTATAATAAAAGAATCAATGATTATGGAAGTAATCTATATTTGGACAATGATGGTGGTTGATTTAAAAGTGTCCTTGCAATGCATGTATGTATTTTGAACTGACTCATCTTTATAGTAGGGGCATGCAAATGGCAAATGGCAATAAACCTGAGTTGCAAGCACATGGCAACTACTGCACTTACAGAATGTATTATAATGTACAAAAGAATTAAGGAAGGTGCAGTTTGAAATTATTATGCATGATAACTAATACCCAGCAGTTACCAGTGCAGATATGCATGGCAACATAAATGCAATAACTATTATAGATGTGCTTGGTTTTTAATGCAGTTAGAAATATGCATGGTAACTTTCAATACTGGTTGTTACCAGTTTTTGTTGCCAACTAATTGTTACAGATGTGTATGGTGACCAAATGCAGTTCTGGTTTATGCATGATCACAAATGCAGTTACAGATATGCTTGGTAACTAAAGCAGTCACAGATAATGCTTGGTAAATGAATGCAGTTACAGATGTGTATGATAACTATTTCAGTATTTCAGTTTCTATTATGCATGGCAACTTCAGCTGTTGTACAGCATAGTGATAAAACACCATCATCCGTGCTAATTCTTGCTATCATTCTTAACCTTTTAAGCCCTAAGAGTGATCAGCATCAAATTTCTCCTTGTAATGGCAATGCTTTGAAGAACAGAGTGGTCATGAGAATTACAGACATGATCACACAAGATCAATTTACTTGATATTTCATCAACTTCTCCCCACTACTTCTGTCGGAAATGAATGGGGACAACAAATGAGAATTCAAATTTTGATCTTAGGGTTTAAAGGGTTAACCTTAACCAGCACTTAAAGCTAAGGTAAACATTTGTTCACAATGAGAAGGCATTCTTGGTAAAAAATACTTTTTATTACATCTAAAGAGCTTGTCTTGACAAATGGATGCCCTTCATATCACTCTTTCTACACAATTATTATTTGACTTGAAGTAACATCAAAATATTTACCGTAAATTATGTAAAAACTCTTCACATGCTTTCCAAAATATCAAAAAATTATTTTTTAACCACAGTCACCAGGAGACTATGTAACTTAACCTTATCCTTTCTGCCTTTGGAGTCAAACAGGGCCTAGAATGCAACTCTGCCTGTGTTCTTGATCAGGTCAAGAACACATAAGCAGTCAAATAAAAGGTCCGCATTTTTATTTAGGTTTCCCATGAGAATCTTACCCTACCCTTGAGAAACTTATTTTGGGGTTTAACCGTATTGCAGTCTAAACTGGACTGAGAGGGCTCATCCTCGGTGTAAGAACTTGTATAAGTCATATGAGACATAAAACAAAGGTAACAAAAAAGTCAAAACAATAGAACCTGGGCGAACAAAAGGTTTGAAACAAAGAAAACGTTCACAGGTTCTAACACCAAGGTAAACCCACTAAGAACTCAAACCTGTTAACAACATGATTTGTTGCAAAACAGGTTGCATGTTGTTTGTTGCCCATTTTACCATGCCTTTGAAAGCAACCTGTCCTTAGACGGTTCAAAGTCCCGATTTTTCTGTATGATCCACAAGATCGAAGACTTTGCGCTATGGGCAGCTATCTTAGATGAGTGTCAAATCTACTTAGAGGGCGACACCTGCCTCCTCACTACATGTGAAACCAAGATGGCCTCCCATATCAGTAAGAAACAGGGGGCTGTGAACAGTCTAAGCTGTCCCTGACTGTTACAAGTCCTCACAGGTTTACATACAGCCATAGTGACAACTGAAATTTCATGCCCAATCTCAAACATTGGCAAGCCATGATCAAATTTTCAAAGTGGTGCTACTTTGAAGAAAACCTCTATTGCATACATGTGAAACCAAGAAAAAGGACATTATTTGTTTGGTTTGTTCTTATTCTCATTGTTGTTTTAGTAAAGTGAAATTAGACGGAGGCTGCTGTTTGGGGTAGACTGTTGGCCGGGGGTTGTCAGAATTTCCCATCCTGGGCAACATTTTACATTTTTATATACACATCCACGTCACATTTACTTTATACTCTGTTATTCGTTAGTTTTTATTGACGATGATGATGGTAAAAATAGGATTACTTAGTGTTGATAAGATACAGGGCTGTAACTAAACTTTGTGTTGTCATATTCTAGCAACAACCCTAAGCCTGGCTTGAACATTACTTCAGTGGAGGGGATCCAGGAGGAGATGAATACGGAGAACTGCCAGGAATTAAACCATTTACATGTGGCTCAAGATCATTCCAAATTTCACCAACCTAAGGTACGTAAGGAGAGAGAAGAGGATTTCCATCAGTTGAGAGGGAAACAAACCAAATCTGCTGTTCACTTTGTCAAAATTATGCCTACCACTCATTGATGGTCACTTAAGTGAGGTGGTCACTTACGAGAATCGCACCACAGCGGGTGTCTTCCACGAAGAAGTCATAACACTTCTACTTTTAGACAGAAAATTTATTGCAAGCTATTTCTAGGTTGTAGTATGTTTACACGTAGTTCCATGTTGTCATGAAAGATCTATTCTTGGTTTGCAACCACGTGACAAGGTGGCCACGTTGGGGGTCAAAACAAAAGGATATTTCCTTGAAGAATTTGCATGAAAATAGTGTTTAGTTCCCAGAGGAGAGAAATGCTTTTGTTCTTGACCACCAACATGGCCGCCGTGACGTCAAGTGCAAACCAGCAATACTCAGAGCGGCGTAGTACATACAGTAAACAAAGAGACCACATCATGTGTCAGTGGTTGCTTCTGAGAGGTTAAAAAAAATGGAAAACTGTACAATTCATCAGCCCAAAAAGTTATTGTGGTCGCTTATAAGACGTTGATCATTTATGAGAGGTTCTATTATAGGGCTTTGACTGGGGAAAGTTTGGTGTTTTGGATAGGTGGTCTCTTATGAGAGGTACGTGGCCTCATATGGAGGCTCAACTGTACTATTTCTTTAATATTTTATAAGTTGAAACTATGAGCAGAGCATCCGTGTGCAAAAATCAAGGCTCTGGAAGAATGCCTTTACTGACAATTGAAAGCACATTTTCAGACAAAAGTAGGAGGTTGGCAGGACTCAAATCCACCCATGCTCTCGAGGTGTCAATTTATTGGATGTGAAAATAACTGCTAGGCGGTACAGACCAACTCTATTTAGTGTCTGTTTTAGGGTGGTGTCTGTTAACCCTTTGAGCCCCAATATCCACATACAAATTCTCCAAACTGATCTTGATATTATTCCTTATAGAATTAGAGGAGAGAATTTGTTAAAAGATCAGAGTATTAATTCCCTTAAGTTATCATTTTCTTAATTCTCCTGACCTTTTCTCTTGATGATGTACTGACATTGTTAGGAGAAAATTGACATCTGTTGGTCACTCTTGGGACTTACAGGATTACAGTCAAACCGGGAAAAGCGTGAACACCAGAAATATTTCCGGAATGTTACTTTGCTGCAAGAAAAAAGCCGATCAGGTGTGAGAAAACTAAACCACAAGCAAGAACATTAATTAGTTTGTGGTTTTGTGCCCAGTTCGGGTGTCTTGATCTTTGCTGTGATTGGTCACAACATAATAAGCATTCCTGAGATATTTCAAGTGTTCACGATTTTCCCGGTCGCACAGTAAGAGAGAGTTTCAAAAATAACACTTACTTCTTTGTGTCCTATGACCTGTGAAGCCACCATCTTCTGCAAGACAATTGCTAACATCTTCAAGTTTGCATGTACCAACTGTGTCTCTAACTGAAGACAGTGCAGCGAAAAATAGTTCCTATTTTCCATGTTACTTATGTCAGTTTCCTGTTCAACTATTTTTGATTCCAGCTGATCAACCTGGTCCTCCTGCCCTTTTGCCTGAGCCGCAATCTGACGTTTCTTAATTTGCTGCATTTTCTGAAGAGAGTTTTGATGGTCTTTTAACACTCCTTTTTCATGTCTTTCACAAAGCTCCTAAAAATGTCGGTTAAAAGAAAATAATATTATCACCAAGTTCCATTCCAGATGTCGTTACTATAATGAGATTGCACACCAGATAATTTTTCAAGCTCTGCACTTTAACACATTAACAATGCAATACAATAACCTTTATTTAACGTGGTCAATATTCTTAGCTAATTAGCTACTTTATAGACATGCCACGAAAAATAAAAAAATATTTAATGACTTTCTAAAACCTTGTTGTGATATTAAGCAGTACTTGTCTCACAATCATATTTCGCCAAAATGACCATGATATGACAAACAAGATAATCTGTTCATATTCTCCTTCAGCTAGCCTGAATTTCATCTGATTACTTCAAGTCACTATTACCTCCTCTTTAACGTCTGAATTGACTGGCCTTTAATGCCATCCAGTGACGTCACTACTCCTTTGCTTTAATTCATACAAAAAGTAGAACACGATTTTCAAGTGGCAAACCAAGAAATATCATTTGGAAATGTCTACATGATACTGAACAGCTGACAGAATGGCTTTACTCTTTTCGATTGTAATTCATGTTTAACGTTCAAACTATCAAGCTCGCAGTACTCTGAACCCGTTGTAATTCAAACTCGGTCACAATCACACAATGAAATAAATACACACACGGAACACTTAGTTCAAAAACACAACAATTTCCTTTAATTGAAAAGAAGCCATTTGGTACTTAATGAATAAAACAGAAAACAAGGAAACAAGAAAGAAAAGCTAACAGAATATAATCATTACACTTGATGGTGAAAATAGCAAGAATGTTGAATGACAACACGACATTGGTCTCAGAAACTTTGCATAAACAAAATCAAGGTGGAAACCACAAAGCGGCTCTAAATGAAAAACCTACCAACTCTCTGTAACGATTCTTCATTCACAGTTCAATTTGGCAATTCAGCTTCGAAGACAAGGGCAGTTTTGCTGTTTACGACAAAGATTATCTAAATGTCTGAACTCCACACAAGCATGCCACCCCTGCGATCCGCTGAATATCAACTGACAATCCCGCCAAAATCTCTCATAATTATGCAAATATTTAGACAATCAACCACTCACAATCACTACCCGGTTTTTGGGTAGTAGTGACATCACTGGAGGGCATTAACAGCTGGTTGATTCAGATGCTGCTGAGAGGAGAAAACGACTCGAAGCAATCAGATGAAATTCAGGCTTCCTTCAGCAGTGCATTTGAAATTAAAATAATTATTATAAATAATGAGGCCTTAAACTGCTGTTCTTAAAAATTAAAAATGACATCTGAGCTTTCACTGATCAACAGATCCCTGATGATGCCTATCGGCAAATGTTCGGATTTCATTTTACTTTTTATGAACTACAGTTAAAGGCCTCATTGGCACATTTTTTTACTTTGAAACAAGAAAACAGGTAAAGAACTCAGAAAGAGCTTTTAACTAATATTTCTGCCATTATGATTACCCTGTAGCTGGAGGTCAAGTCTAAGAGAAGGGCTAAATATTCAACTGCACCAGAGTCTTCTCTTTTAAACTGTGGGCAAAACAGAAAAAGACAGGACTTAAGAGTATATTTAGAGCTTAGTAGCCTAAGGGCTAGAAATTCCCCCTACATGTATGAATAGGAATTGCATGACTATAATTTTAAAAAAATGAGCACTTTTTATCCTCTACTGTTCTTCAAACATCTCATATGGGATTTTGTCCAGCTCACCAAATGAAGTATTAAGTATAAAATAGTTCTTTATTTGACATGGGTGTAAAGGAACGTTTAAGTCATTATTTTGTGACATACAAGCAATTATTTTTATTAGTATTAGACAACATTAGAAATGTATTTAGTTCACAGCTTGAGAGTGTTTCACTTTTCACTGACATCATGCTCACAACCGTGATTAAACTTGAAAGAGTCCAGTGTGTTAAACATGAATGAATGATACTTTGCAGAAGGTTACAGAGGTCCACCATTACAATGTAGATGATGATATCCTACAAATACAAGTCATTTTAATTTGCATGACATTATCACACTCGATACTATTCTAATTCAACCTGTTTGACACATACCCAACTCCCTCCCTTCTCTGAAAGCTTGGAGTAGTAAGATGTGATACCAGTGAAGCCGTGCTTGAGTGTACCCCAAGTGTTGTCATTACCGCTTGCCCATACTGTTGTAGGGTGTGACTCATTGCTCATGGTCCTGAAAATAATGGGACTCAAATGAAGAGCCTGCCTGTGGGTATCTGCCAACATTGTTTTCATCGCTCATTTTATAACAAATCATCAGTTTTTGTCAGCAAAATCGTCACCTTTTAAGAATTGTTTGTGTGGTAACGCGACTTTCGAGCTCAAGCAACCGCCACAACAATGGAAACAAGAGAATTAAAAGAGCCACAAGTTAAAATAAGCAAAACAAAAACTCTTACCATGCATCAGAATTTTGGCAGTTTTCACACCTTCCATGAAGGCAAAATAGCTGAAGTAGCTACTGTCTCAAAAATTTAGCAAGATGAAACAAACAAAAAAAAAACTTGACAATTTGAAGGATATCTACTAGATGCCTTAGTGGACTGGAAACTCCTCAATATGCATAGTTTTGTTATATCATACTCAGGATTCTCAACCAATAACGCAAAATATCATCAAACTACAGTCAATAATCTCTAACAGGCATCCAGAGTTGATCCCTGCAGTTGCTCAGACATTTTCATTGACTTTTTAAAGGAAGGGCATCTCTCAAAGATAGATAGTGCCAGTCTTATCTTAAAGGGTGATGGGTGGGTCAGGAAAGTGTCTTACTGGTTAACAATGGTTTACAAAACTTACTGTCTTTAAATACAACATTGCTTGACAGAAAATTGAATCCACTTACACCAACAATTTAATCAAAGTCATAAGGAAGTAAGAAGTACAGGTTGCTTGGGGAAAGTAACCTTAGAAAAAAGTATCAGGCCTGCAAATAATTTTTCCTTTCAGAGAGGACATTTTTTGACTAAGTTGCCATTTTTTGTCACACACACCAGAAGAGTTTTTGGTCATGTTTAAGTTAAATGTAATTATTTCTAAGTATCATCAGTTTCAAAAATAATACATGAAGCACGGTCAACTCTAAGATGGAAACCTCTGGAACCAGTAATAAGAGTCCATCTTATAAAGAGTCAAATAAGGGGAGTAAAGAAAGAAAGGGTGTGTCTGTTCTACCAATGTGTCTATCTTATTGAGGCATCCATTGAGAGAGTTGACTATATTCACTGGCAATTTAATGATCTGACTGGTCATCATGTCTGACCGCATTAGGAATTTGTGGGACTAGACCGAATATGACTCAGTTATTGTCTGATTATCCATCCATTGTTATTTGCCACTCTTATCACATTCATAAAATTAATACATGTGACAAATATTTTATTACTTACGTAAGCTCCTTGGCAAACTGAAGCATGTCAGAGGAAAAGGCTGTCAATTTGCAAAAATAACAGTAAACAAACTTTCTCTAGTCAAATCATCTGAGTTTATGAAATTCATTTTATACTTATTTAAAGCTGCTAAACATAATTCAAAAAATCAAATTGGTCAATGTTGGACTGTTATCTTTGGAACAATTTAGAATCTTTTCTTAAAGGAAGCCAATTCTGTAAAAATTCTTAAATTTTCCTTAAGGAGCCAGTTTTTAGTTAATTTTGTAAATACTTCTTAGTTAAGTTTAAAAACATTGTAATTAGTAATTAGCTAACATTGTAATAAAAATATTAGTATTAGGTTAAGTGTTGTAATTAGTTATTATAAATAATGTAACATAATCATTGTTCCTAAAAAACCTCTTTGGGAAGGTAACGATAAAGTATGTAGGTAAAAAGCTTGTATGTATGTAATGTTGAAGTCATTACTTTGCTTTCAAATTTTCACAAATTAATAGTTCTACACCTTATCGTAGAAAACGCAGCAAACAACTAACCTAGGACTCTAGCAGTCATCCTGTCGGCTATTTCTTTCAGCTTTTCTACACTGTTGTGAATAGCCTGAATCTGCAGTCGACTGCTTTGAAAGCTGGCTTGTGTATCCATGGGAACTAGTTCCTGAGAAAGTGAAAACATCTCTTGAAGATTTTATTTTGCATGTGATGACTCTTCTTTTGCTAAGGATTTTTTTGAGTGTCATTTCTTTGCGGACATTTGCCTGGAATAAGTGGACCTGACAACGAGGTACAAGATTTTCATTCAAGTTTTCTAGTCAATATTACAACATTTTCTGGAGTGTTTTTATCGGAACTAATTGACTGATTTGTTCAGGGGTTTCAATAAAAACTGCAGTAGCCAGCAGGTTTGATTACAGCAACCGACAGTAACAACAAAGGGCCACTAGTCCCCTTTTTCTGGCGGGTCTGGGGGCATGTTCATCCAGAAA